GTTATAATTTTATAAAAAAAGAATCACAGCTAACAATATGCTATAAATTCTACTTATACCATTTATATACAAAAATAATAATACTGACCAAATTCTGCTTAGTAGGTACTACACTTAAGGGATACCGAAGGAATGTTTTCCTAAAAATGCCAATATTACAAGAAAAATATTAGTAGAATGGTCATTATTAATCGACAAATCAACGCGAGCACATGGTAGTGATTCATATCTTCGTTACCATTTATGCTCATTGAATTTCACGAAAAACGAATTTTCGTGCTCGAGATGTTTTACTCATCAGTCTAAAGAGCAAATCAGCAGCGGATCGTGGGGCTAAAGGTTTCGTTAGGCCGTCGCAACGGTTGAAAAAACAAGGTAGCCGGAGTCTCCTTATCGAGACGAATTTCCGACTTCAGGTTTCTGAATTACGTAACGTATTTCATCTAATTTTCTTCAACCATTACTGTCGCTTATCGTCTTTGGGAGGTTTCTCATGCATTGATTAAGAACTGAAGTAACAATGCATTAGTGGTAACTTACAAACAACGCCTGTTTTCCTATAGTCCCCTTACTCTACGTCTTGAAACACGGCGTTAAATACATTTTACCGACAATTTACAGAAATATGACCTAGTAAAAATATTTTTCTTCTCGGCCTCACAGTGAGTCCAAAAAGTTATTACCACAAATAGGGGCGGTACTGTTGGTGAAACTGAGAATAAGCTCTTTATAACAAGCACGCATGTACTCGTACTTTATATACTGATACATATCCAAGGCATTCTTCCCTAACTACAAGGTTATTTTACACGACTTTTTATCACTGGATTCAACTGCGAGCTATCAGATCAAACATTTGGACCTATTTTGCATTTATTCGCTGGAAGCAAGTTCAGTAATGACCTCTTAACAAAAACTGTCGTTACTCGAAATGTTAGGAACAGCCTGAAAAGCAATAGACAAAAAACAACTAACCGAATTGGTGTAGAAAATATGTATGTTTTAGAAAATTGCAGGAAAAAAAACTGTAAACTATACAGTTGTCAAAAGCAGGCACATGTTAATCTAAAAGTTTCCTAGTTTGGTTTAAATCAAGTGAAATAAAAAATTGAATCTCACTATGAATTAGCAAAGTTATGAAGAATAAGTAAACATACTTGAAATTTTGAGATACACATGTATTTGTCCAAAAGTCTGTCAAATAAGTATTTTACCTGCTAGTAACTTTGGGTTTAAATAAGAACTCACCGCAAGGAGTGCACTTTATAGGGAGTATCTAAGCTAGGGGATTGTGTAATAAAAGGGGATAAAACCTGGTAATTTTTTAACAGACATGTTTTCTGTGGCTGTCTGATCTGTTTTGTTCTATCTGTACTGCTCTCTTTTATTCCTGCATATGGAGAATTCGCTGCAGCTTTGACATGTTGAGCATGCCAAAGATAAAACAAGCATTTAAAAACAAAAAACAAAAAATAAATGTTAACAGTCTAAGCTAGTGGAATTTAACTAGTGAAGGATTTATTAACGAAAATCATCAGGTACAATTATTTTACTTGAATAATGTTTTATTATTGTTAACATTTCTTAAGTAATGTACACATTTTTGGAAAAAATCTTTTTCGTTTCCCTAAATTATTAACATAATTAAAATTTATGAAGAAAAATGTATCTGTATCTGCTTGATTATTATTATTGAATAACACTGTGATGATTTTAGTTATAATTTCTGTTACTTATAACAATTTCGAAGCGAATTTCCATAAAACCGAAAACCGTCGTCTATGACATATGAATTCCTTGCCACTTTTGCTATGGCGAGACACACACAAAAACACCAGTTCTGAACACATAAAGCTGATTTGAAGCAACATGAACCAACTGCAAGCTCGTGTGAAGCTGTTGAACCTAGAAATACAGCAAAAAGAAAATAATATTGGTATTTATTTGTGCTCGTAACAAAACAATATGGCCAGAAAATTGAAGTAATAACATAAAAAATATGTAAGTGGTAAAACTGAAATCTCAAAGGATGTCAAGAGAATTGTAAGTAATAAGTACATAATACGGTTTTTTGTAGAAAAAAAAAAGGTAGCTATAAAGAGAAAAACAATATCTCCAAATTTTTGATCGGAACATGCGAATAAATGTAACATACTCCTACATCAGAATTAAAATAAGAGAATTTCGAAAAATAAAGTACGGGAACGGACGAATATGAAAGCGAAATGCAAGTTGAAAATAGCAACATAGAGGTGTACAAAGAAAGTATTGACAAAAAAACATTGATTTTTAGAAAATGAAGAAAAATATGAAAGATAAATTAGAAATATGCAGTATATTAGGATGAGAATGGAAGCAGAATATTTTTAAATTATATTCTTCGCGTACCTATGTATGTAATTGATCTTATAAATTTGTAAATTAAACCTATATACTTATTTATTAACGAAAAGATAAAAAATGTTCAAAGAACAGAAGTTGATATCTAGAAAAAGACAAGGAACGTGGAACAATAATAAGAGATACAAGAAAAGGGCTTAACAGACACATGTAACTGAATGAGAACGAGTACACTAAAGGCAATGGTGAAATGGGAAAAATACGTAAGAATTACGTGATGTAAAACAAAATAAAAATTTGATAGTGATTACAGGAAAAATATTTTGAGTAGTAATAAGTTTACAGATACAAATATTAGTACAGAGGTAGTGGGTATTAGAAAAATAAAAATATATAAGAGAAATGCAGTATACAAGTCGTAGACAAAATACCACTACACAGTTGAGCAACTTGCAAAAGAAAAACAAAAATAAAAATAACTACGTACAAAGAGAAAGTTTAAGCTAGGAGAAACATATTTTTGTAAAACAGGAGTTCATAGATTGACGGAAATATAATTAAGGAGAAATAGTAAAAATGACCATTTTAAGATATGCGGAAACTACACATATAAAGGCATAAAAAAGGCAAAAAATTGGGGAATTTAATACAACTCAAGATCACTGTGATTCATATTATTGTATATATAGAAAAAAAATTGAATAGAGAAATCAATGCTAAGATTGAGAACATATCCTATTCATAACTATAGAACGATTATACGAGAGGTATTAATAAATAGTCGGCCTTGCTGCTTTCTCATAAACAAAATCGAAACTGACTATTTTTGATAAAAAATGTAGCCAATTCCACGTTCTGACTTTTTGACGACAAAATGGCTGATAAAAGTCTCAGTTTTGATGAAATTGGCGAACGGTCGGTGTATCTGTTATAACAGGGTTTTCAGGAAAGAAAATTTGTCCAAAAACAGTGAATATCTTGAAGGATCGTAATCCTTCCTACGTTATCATAAAAACTTGTGTTGTCGAATTTGAAAGAGCAAAAACAAACGTCAAAGATAAAAACATTGTTGGAAAATTGTTTTTGTGTCCACTAGTGAAGAAAATGACACCAGATATGACATGATTTTGGAAGATCGATGAATTGGGTCTAAAGACATACTGGAACTTACATATTTCCTGTAAGGTTGTCTTTCTCATACTACATAATGATTTCGGTATGAGAAAATTATCTGCTCAATCCCTAAAAGCCCATCAAAAAAGACTCACAAGAGTGACAATTTCGAAGTCATTTTGTCGCCGTTGTGAACAAAAGTTTTCCAATATTTTAGATCGTATTGTAATTAGCGACCAGTCATTACAATTTAGAGATAAAAGAATGATCAACAAAACTAAAACACTCCGGTTTCGCCCACTCAATAAATTACATCTTTGTATAGAAAAAAGTTATACAAGAGCAAGCAAATTTTGCAATTTTTAATCAGGGTGAAAATGAAAACCGTCCTTCAGAGCACGATGTCTACTAATTTCTGAAGAATAACAATTAAAGACTAATTGACATAACTAAAATATAAGTTTTTTTTGCAGAGGGATGCAGTATCCAAAAACTGACAACAGTTTTTTTGGGCGGGGTCAGAATAATTATATTGAGATATTTAGAAATAATGGTGGAAAAGTGCTGCTCACCGTTGTTAGCTAAGTTTTTGTGCAAAATGCGCAGAAACGCTGTGTAAAACTTTCCAAAGATGTGCTTTACTTGCAACACAATGGTTCGTAAGTCTTTGATTGGGTTACAAAAAATGAAAAAAATTGGCTTCCGATCGATTGAGCATTCTAGCGTTGGCTAGATTTAGCTCAACAGACTATAGTCTGGTACCAAAACCAAAAGACACCGAGCTGGACAAAGTTCTCATCGAATAAAGCAGTGTGCAGGACTATTGTAGAATAAAATGAAGATTTTTCTTTAAATTCCGGAACTACTTTGTGAGCGTTATGCTAAATGCACAAAGTTAAAAAAAGGTGATTAAGTTCAATTATCAATACCTCCTCGTAATTATAAAAAAAAATGTGATGATGACTGAGGAAATGAAAATGAGAGAGGATTAAATTAAATAAAAAAAAACTGGAATATAACAGGAACGTTAAATTGTAAATGGAGATATATAATTTAGTATGTATTACGTATCACTTCAGCGATGCATGAAAATAATTAATTTTTTCAACAAAACTCACACAAAGTTAAAACTTTTGTGCATAGATGTGCATGGGGACTATAAATTTGTATTAATTTAACAACTTATTTACTTATTCACAAGTTGCCAACATATAAAGCTTGGGTAAAGCGATATCAACTAATTGCAAGCTTTGTTCGAGCCCTTGAACGTAGTGAAGCGGCGAAAAAATGGTAACGCCAAGGTTAAAGGATGTATCTGATGAAACTAATCGACTCCTTCTGCCCAATTAAGCGTGCTCCAATGCGGCAGAAAATATTTTTGTTCGGAATTCGTCGTTGTCCGAGGCCCGCGCGATAAAATATTATCTTGCGAATGTGTGACGTTTACTATGTGAATATTTCTGCTTAGTTGGGTAGAATGAGGCGTTATCTTGTCATTTATTTTTGGGATGGTGGTGCATAATAGGGCGAGTGAGGAGTGTTCTTACCCTCAACGTTCAGCATGATGGCGAGATTAATCTTCGGTTCCGTGTTCACCTGACACTCGTAGACGCCGGCGTCTCTTTTCTGCACGTAGGTAATGCGCAGATCCCAGTCGTCGCTGTGCTCCGGATGGCGGACGCTGAAGCGAGCGTCGCCGGTGTATGTGTGGATGCTCGAGGTCAGGATGTGGAGGTCGCGTTTACGCATCCAGGATACCTGCAACAAAGTATCCCGAGGGTGATGAAACCGACGACGATTTACACGAAAAGCGAAATTAACAGGCGCTTATCCGACCGTAAAAGACACACTCGAGCCATGGCAAGAGACGGGCGCCTGGTCGATATTGCTTTTGACTTTCTGAGAGAACGGGGTTGAGACAAGATACTTTTTATTTCGAAAACAGAGGATCGTCTTGAGAGGGAAGATAGTATAATAGCGTTTTAACTTTTTATTTGCCTCATTTGCCGCTGCATTGTTCATGTAATGGTGCAGCATATCAGGAGCGCGTTTGTGCGATTAAGCTGCCAAACTATGAAAATTAAATAACTTTCAGATATAAAAAAATACATACAATACATACATATTATTGATAATAATCTGTACAAACATTAAACAAATCGAATTGATCTATTTTCAATGAAAATTAAAACCTGAACCTTACTTTTGAAAAATTTTTAAAGCATTCTAAATGTTAGAGTTAATGTTATTAAAAATTACTCAGTAAAGTTTCCTTCCTGACCAGTATGTATTTTATTATGAAAATAAGGAAAACGCTTCATAAGATTGTTTGCACTATTTTATTTGTCTAGAAAATATTAGTGATACTACGGAATTCAATTTTAGACTTATTACAGTATATGTGGAAATTAAATTTCGTGCAAGAAAAAAAACATTTCGATATTCCTGTCAATTACCCATATCTCCACGAGTTTATAATAATCACTGATAACGGAATTGAAACCGTCTCGCAACCGTTAACCAGGAGAGGAAAAGGTAAAATTTTTCGGCCAAAACTAGTTTTTTTTTCGTTCGTGGAGCTAAACGACAACATGCCTTCTAAGATTATACATTAAATTTTGTTTGTTAAAATTTACCAAAGGACAGTTTATTGTAAATCAAATGCACCCCAGTTATCCAGATTTTTATGTATTGTGAAATTTTCATAAGTTCAGCAACTTCTGGATTTTAGTTTCACAATCACGTTGGCTACAGATGATCTGCTATTTGGGGTACCGATAAGTCCTCTATCTGCTTAATACCTTTGTGCCATATCATTGTAATAGCACGCATATTACCATTCTTTTGGTTTGGCGCAGTTGTCGTGAACTCGAAACATTTTGTCAGACTCGCAACATTTGGTGATAAAAGTTAGTAATTTTGTGTTTGAAGGGACGAAAATGTCTTATAGGTGGTAAAAAAGTGTTCAACAGACTTGTTTTCAGTTTTCCCCTACTGCAGAAAGGAACCACATTTTTCGTCGCGCTGTAATAAAATTAACGAAATATATATCAGTTCAGTAAGTACTCCATTTGAACACATTCCATCTTGTTAACAATCACAACTCGGGGATAAATTTTAGTTTTTTCTATTTTTCGCGAGCATGGCTCAATTTTGGTGGATTATTTTGGTAATTATAATTTATAAATCAAAAATTAATTTTAGAACTTAATACTGCCAAAAGTAAAAGTCTGCAGTCTGAAGATTTTTTTATTTACGATTGAAACAGGACGAATGAACTGAATTAAATAAAAAAAATGGTCTAAGGTTATTTAGACAGACCTTTCCTTGCCGCTGAAATACAATACACAAATGCAGCTTTTTCAAAAAAATTAAATATTTCATTTTCCGAATTTTATTTTTTTGATAACCCCTAAGTTAAAATAAAATTATGTATGTAATCTTAGAGTAAATGTGAAAAAGAATGCTATATCTAGGTATGTTTCAAGTGAGTGTTTCTACTGTCAAATTTTGTGATTTTTTTTACTTCTCTAGCGTAATCTAAGGAAGTATTGTATTCGAGTCCATCGGGCGACATTTTCTCGACAGGTCCATGACCCCTATGGTACGAAAAAATGGGTCCCCCGTTTCCGTCCGTCTATTTGTCGTAACCATCCGTCACGATTTGTGGTAGATAGATAATTTCGGAAACAACCGGACGGATTGTTGTCAAATTTTATATGTTTTTTATGTACATGGTAAAACACTAACCAAACTTTGTTCAGTCATCTCCACCAACAATTTGATGACGTCACCTCAAAATTGCACATAGTAAATGGGTTTTAAATTGTATAAAATAACATAGTCTTATACGTGTAGTTTATGAATCCGTGTTGAGATTTTACCAGAAACGTCCAGATTTTTGGAAAAACAATCAAAATTAAATAACAACATTTTGCAATTTAATTTCGAATTTGCAAAACCGAGTGTTTTGAAATGACGTGATTTCGAAATTTTGCCGAATAGATCTTATCTAAAATAAGCAACATATGATGAATATATACTGCATTCATATTTTTTAGATTTACTTACATAGGGTGACCCAAAAAAAATTATTGGGTTGGTTTATTTTATTGATTAAATCAAGAACTGCAAAACCGATCGGTTTTAAATATTACAGACGTTTTGGAGTTTACCAAACAAAATTTGGAGTATACGGGAGGACGCACCACATTGTACAGAATTTTGAAAGCGATGGGTTTTAAATATAAAATGGAAAACAACAGAAAAATATTAGTTGAAGGACCGTATATTGCATTAAAAAAGATACAGTTTTTAAAAAAATATTTGCAGTATAAAAATAATTACCCCGACATAAAATTTATATTCTTGGATGAAACTTGGGTGTACCGAAACGGATCACCTAACCGGACCTAGGTCCATCACGACATGGACAACGTTCAAAATTAGAAAGACTGACGGTGAACGGTTTACCATGTTACATGCGGGAGATTCTTGTGGTTTTTTGGATGAACGCAGCCTAATGTTGTCTAAAAAATCAATCATCGGGACTACCGCAAGACAATGAATGGGGACATTTTTAAGCAGTGGGTACAGATCCAGCCACTTCCTGCTTTAGAGTTCGATGGGAGGATAACTGTTGTGGTACTAGATAGTGCCCCTTGTCACTCCATACGAATTGAAAAACCACCAACACGTTCATCTAAAAAATCAGAGCAGCAAAATCATTTGGCTAAAAATAACATCCCCTTTGAAGATCACCTTACCAACAAACAGTTATGGGAATTGATACGAACTAATTCAAAAAACTCCACTATAAAATATAAAATAGACGTTTCACTACAACATGGAATTTATGTTTTACGACTCCCACCGCATCATTGCCAGTACAATCCCATCGAGCTAGCATGGGACACTGTAAAACATATTATAATAAACGAATTAATGCTAGCACTTCTCACAAAAATAGAGTATGCAATTTATGGCAGGAAGTCCAACTTTACTCCACACATAGTAAATAATAAAAATAATACAGGAAGGTTGGTATAAAACTATGGGAACCACACTCTTGAAGACATTCGACCAATTATAATTTCCTTAGCGGAATCTGATAATTCTGATACGGATTTTGTTATTGAAGTTTCTTCAGCAGAGTATGAAGACAACGATGATGAAACTGAAACTATGTAAAACATTGTTTGGTTTTTATAAACTAGTTCTTGTTAGTTTTTTGTCTTATCATTTATTTTTATTTTAGTTACCTTATTTAATAAAACTTTAATCTTTCAAATGAATTATCAAAGAGAGACGACATAACCTTTATTTTTTTTCCATTAGAATAAATTAACTAATTAAACGGTATCCGCGCAGTGGTCGGTTGAGTTTTATGTCGTAGGATCTAGCATCTTAGCTATAAATATGAAACTTATTGTTCGGAGAAAAGTACAATTTTCGGAAATGACAAATCTTTACCTTTGCAAGATAAATAATTTGGAAAATTGTTTTTTTGTTATATGCTTTTTCGGGACACGCGGACATAAAAAAAGAAGAAGAGATGTCTTCTACGTTGTGAAATTACATTAAATTTATACTGTTTTTGCCATTTCTATTGAAACACCACCGGTTTGGTTTTGCTTGAAAATTGTCTAAATATGAACGTTGCCAGATTTACGATTAAGAAGTGGTGTTTCAATAGAAATGGCAAAGACTATCCTTAAACAATATATTATAATTTCAGAACTTGTAGACGTCTTGAAAAAGCGGTAAATAAACTGCGAAACCCTTAACGTAGAAGACATCTATTCTTTTTTTTTTATGTCCACGTGTCCCGAAAAAGCATATAAAAAACAGTTTAATGAATAATGGACGAGAATAAAACTAATAATATCTATGGAAATTCTGAAAGTATTGGCGATATTTCAGAAAGTTTTGCTGTGCTAGTAATCAACATGAAATGATGTGAAGAACACGACAAGATAATTTAATTGCTACATGATCGTTTTCCGGGTTGGAACCATGTTAATTGAGTTTTTGGGCTCAACGTTTTACACACTTTCGTAAGTGGCATCTTCAGGAGCAGGGTTAAGAATAAGGCAAAAGAGCACGGTAACTCAGTATGTCAACCATACCAGAGGCGAAACTCTTTTGACGGGAAGAATTTGGTAACCATACTGAGTTACCGTGCTCTTTTGCCTTATTCTTAACCCTGCTCCTGAAGATGCCACTTACGAAAATGTGCGAAACGTTGAGCTCAAAAACTCAATTAACACGGTTCCAACCCGGAAAACGATCATGTATTGATTCCGACCGTGGAAGCATCCGAAATTAATTTCATTGTTTTACAACAGAAGATTTTTCTTGTGTTATAAATTATAATATTTAGAGACGTAAGTAATTAAAATTAAGTTTCAAGAGAGTATAGACATACAGTCAGTGCGTATAGGTAAATATAAGTAAGCTAACAAATAAAGCTAGTTGACTACCTATATAAAATCAGAAGACAAAATAAATCTTAAAGTTAACTATGAGTAATACAGGGAAAATTTTTAGATAATAAAAGTGTAAGACAACTAAATTTACGAATGGCCAATTACGTAGTAATAATTTCTTGACTACGAGTATTACAAATTATGTGAGATTAAAACTGTTGCTGCGGTTTCTTAACAATTTCAGGTAATTAATTTTGGTACATGTTTTTGTTTTGTTTCTTTGACATGTCTTATATAAGCCCTCGAGTTGGACTATAACCTCCTCCGCCT